TGCAATGTATTTACTAGTCCCGTCAACTCGTCTACTTTTTCCCTTAACGCACTATTTGCCTGTTCATGCGATTGCATCATTGATGCCATCATTACGGCCGCGCATGCCGTTTCTACAGCCATTTGTACTGTTGCTGCGATTTGTTCAGTCATTTTGTTATCAACTGTTTTTTTCACTTTTCACTACACCACTAGGATACCTTAAATCCAAAAAAAAAGTTAATATAACTCACTTAACTTATACTGCAATTTTAATTGTAGAAGCAGTGTTTTACTTGTTCACAATGTTTTCTTAAATATAATGCACTGACTTACACTAAAATGAAATAAATTGAATAAATTACTGCACTCTGCCGCTTGCTTCCAAAATTATCCCGTGGGTATTTCTTGAATCACCGGCTGCTGCTTATACCCTTTTCTCTATAAGGATTTTATGTCCTGTGGGTATTTGTTTGTTCTACTGCTGATCCGTTTTCTCTATGAGAATATATGCGGATTTCCCGTGTGGGCGCCAGATATTTTTGGTTGTCAAATCAAGACTGGCTTTATTTGAATATTCATATTCTAATCTACCTATGCTACCTCTTAATTCTACACACAAAGAAAAAGAGAGGTAAATCTAACCGAAAAAGACGATTAAAATTGCAGTGACCGAAAAAAATTGTAAATCAAACCGACAAAAAATTGTTATTATGAAAGTTCGTGAAAATAGTTCGGGTACCATTAAAAATAGTTAGCTTACCATCGAAAATAGTTCGTGTACCACGAAAATAGTTCGTGTACCACAAAAAATTGTTTTTTTACCATTAAAAATAGTTACTTTACCATGAAAATAGTTTTATTACCATGAAAAATAGTTAGTTTACTATGGAAAATAGTTTTTGTACTATAAAAATGGTAAAACTACTATTTTTTTACCTCCAAAACTTGTCCACTTACCATTTTAATAGTTACTTTGCTAAAATAAAAAGTAGTGATTAAAAAAACATTGATTTTAAATAAATGTATTATTATTTATTACTTTTAATTTAATAAGTACATATTTTTATGTGTTTTACTATTGTAAATTAAGACAAAGATATAAATATATATAAAATTTATACATGTATAGTTTCAAAAAAACTTTGGACGAATATACGTAATTCCATTAGGGGAAAGAGTTGTATTAAGAGGTGAATAATATAATTCAGAAAAGTCCAATAGATAAAATTGGTCTGTACTTTTTATAATTGGAAATGACTGAAAATGGTCCGAAAACATTGCAATTGTGTGTTCAACACATACGAAAATTACTTTGTTGTTTTCAAGTACAATAATGTCTTTGATTTCAAATAATTTCAAAGATTTTGACATCAGGAAATATCCAATTTTATAAGTAGTACCTTTTATTTCCATTTTTGTTATAAAATTGTAGCTTTCATTTATTAATATTTCGCATTCAAAAGAACTTATATTTACTTTTTTACTGTAATATCTGTTTTTAAATTTTTCTTTAGATTGGTTTTCGAAAAATAAGTTTCTATCTAATCCTTTATTCAAAAGTAACCGATTTGAAAACTTTATCATACATTTAACAGCGATTGACAAAGGTGCATTCCTTCTAGAGGTAATACAATTGGTATACGATTTAATCTCTCTATGCTTGGACTCGAACCTAAAACACCATACATGCTTAAGAGGTCCTACATTTTTTATGATTGTAGCGTAATGAAGTAGAAAGTGAAATTTCGGTTTTAACGTCGGGCCAAATAGTTGTACGTAAATCGTGTGATGGTTCTTAATTTTTAACTTTAATTTATTAAGGGACTCATCGTCGAACTCTGTTTTTAAAATCTCGTCTATAATTTCAATTAATGTACAAAAATGTTTCCAATGTTTATTGTGTAGTGGTATTAAATCCCCAATTATTATTGGAAGAAAATGGCAAAATGTCCACATTTCTCGTGCTGACATATTAAGTTTTTGACATTTCAAATGTGATATTTGAATTTCTGGAGATCTATTACTTAACTCAATTTCACCGTATTGAAATTGATTTTTTCGATCATTTAAAATTTCAATTGTAAACAATTTTTCGGATTCAATAAAATGGAGTAATATTTTCGAAACGTCATATCGGCAAACACCTTCAAAAATATCATGCATAATATCCCCGGTAAGATTATTTACCACATGAAATGAATTAATGTCATTGAAAATGGAATTCTCAGATATACCAGTTAACTTTATTCGCTTCTCTGGTATATCTTCTGTAGCAAGGTTTTCTGTATAGTTTAACTCATTCCGAAGTTTGCTCTCTATTTCCTCGACCATGTACGAAGTTTCTTCTTTATTGCATAAACAATATCGACAAAAGTAATTAGATGAAATGCTTTTAGTGTAGCCGAGAATACTATTTAAACCTAAGTTATCACCCACAACTAGTGCTAGTACAAAATAAATTTTTTTGGTTGTATTATCAAAGCTAATGTCAATTCCCCCTTCTTCAAGACTTTTAATTTTTTCTACCAGTAATTTCAATGATGCGTCATTTCCAAACTGTTTATGTTTACTTCTGAAGAAAAGAGCAGGGAATATATTTTCTAGTCGCGATTGGTAGTGCTGCGGCAAAGTAGGGAAACTGTAATAAAAAGCAGCTATTGATTGTGTCCCTCTGTTGGAACCCAAAGGATTATTAATTTCAAAATCGTCAAAATAAATAACGTAAGGAATTGCTGTTTTATCGCTGAATAAACTCATTTTAGATTTCCATAATTTTCCATTAACAATGTTTTTTAATTCATTATCATTTGCAAGGAATTTCTGTGTATTTTCCAAAGTATCTTTTAATACATTAGGAAGTTCGAAGAAATGTTTAATTTGAAATCGTAATGGCATTAGTACACCCTTACTGTGTTGCTCTGTTAACGAAATTGCATGGTGATGAACTACGGGCGCAATTCTATTATCAATGTCGAATTCTTGTGGGTCTTCAAAGCACTTTCTCATTTTGAGTTCCTTTAAAAATTTGTAAAATGTTTTACATTTTGAAAAGGGATCTCTTAAAAACGAAACTAAGTTTCTGAGTTGGACTTTTTCTTGTTCTGCAAAATCGAATATAATATTTTCTAAAAAGTGTGCTATTGGCAAAAGCAAATCATTTGTTATATCATCAATTAGTCGTTCGGCATCAGATCGAGCGAAATTTGATTGACTGTGCAATTTACTCAAAAATAGTAGCGCAATATTTTCGAACTCAGCATGAGAAAATTCGTATATATCTTGACGTTCTTGATTACATTGCCGTTGGTTTCATTGTGGTGGAAAATTATTATTTTCGGATTCACTAAGACTCTGAACATTTGGAATTATATTAGAAATGCATGAATTCGCTTTCTTAAAGTGGCTTTTAAAAGTTCGCAAGCACTGATAATAATGACAGCAATGTAGACAGTAAAAATTACTAGATGATGTTAAATTGTGAAATTTTTTTAGATGATTTACGAGTATATCAACATCTTCAAAATTGTTGTTGCATACAAAACACAAAACCATTTTAAACAAAAAAATAATAACTATTACATATATAATATTTAATAATAATTATTGAATATTGAAGGTGTTAAGATTTATGTGACTACGTATCTATACTTAATAAATTAAATTAAGTCCCTCAGCAAACAAAGGACATTTGGAGAAGTTTTATCTTCAGTCAATTCAATGGAATAAAAATATCTTTGGACAAACGTCCAAAACTCAATGCTATCCTGTGGATATTTTAAATGTAATACATGGAAAGTCTTAAAACATATGTCTAAAGCGCTTAAAAATGAAGGAAGCTCATACTTAATGTCGTCATAGTAAACATAAAATTTGCAATTACTTAAATCACTGCCAATTGCGATAATTAGTGATTGCAATGTCTCACCGCGTGCATAAAGTGATTTTTTCAGATTATCCAATTTATTTTCGACATCGTTCACAGTACTAACTTGTAGTAAAAACGAGAGCTGAGAATCTTTGATAGTACTTCTAAAAATCGTTTTGTCACCTGCCTTCCGCTTTATATTAGGTCGTAGTACAACGTGCAGTAACAATGCTATAAGTTGATCTGAACCTTTAATAAAAGTATATTTATTATAAAAATCATTTAATCTTATTATTACCAATGTTAACAAACCTTTATCAATCTCATTAACTTTTTTCAAGTGCTGAAGATTTTGAATATCCTTTACCCTCTTATTCAAAATTGGTATAATTTTTGTTCTAAAACCTTGCCATTTCTCTGTTAGCTGTGAGCAATTCTGATCTAGAGCATTGAAGTCAATATCAATCTGCAATAAAGGAAAGCATTATTAAATTTTGAGTTTTAAATTCTGTAGCGACCATTTTTACAGCCAACCGACTAAAGAATAATATTGTGAAGGTTGGAGCTAGCTCAAACATTTTTCTAAGTTTTCCGATTTTTTTTGAAAGAGAAATGCAAAATGTATATATTTATTTTTTTGTATTTTATGGAAGAAATTGATCAACACCCTCTAAGCAAAAAAAGGAAAATTCAGGGAAATTTTTGAGCTACTTCCAACTTGCATATCTATTATTATATGATAGTTGATTGGGTTTCACAGCAGTGGTTCGGTTCAAAACCCGATTCAGAACCGGTTTGCAGCCGTGCCTTTAAATATTGGGTCATATGATTAAAAAAGGTTTTTGTTTTTTCTCAAATTTTCACAAATTTGACATCAATTTGTATAAAGAAACTTTCAAAATTTGAGAAAAGGTTTTGAAAAAGCAATTGCTTTTTTTATTAATATGACGCATTACTTTCATATATGATAGTATTTCAAGAGGAAGTTTTTGTATTTATTGGGTCATTTAATAAAAAAGAAAATGCTTTTTCGAAATATTTTCTCAAATTTTGAAAGTTTTTTCATACAAATTGATGTCAAATTTGAGAAAAATCTTTTTTTTTTATTAATATGACCCATTTGATTGTAAATTCAAACTAGTCAACAAATTCTGACAAGTTTAAACGTAAAACTAAGAAATCCATTTACCAGATTGTATCCACATGAATGGGAAAAAAGTTTCCAGGCCCGTAAAGTTTTCGCTGATGTGCTACCACTTGAGTTAAAAATTTCTTGTCGTCTGATTTTGAAGGTTTTTTCCAATTTGCTTCAACTGTGCTCCACGGCGAATCAAAAAGTTTGAGCCAGTCATAGGCAGCTGCATAAAAATATATGAAATAATTACAAAACAAAAGCTATTGTAGTGGCGTTACATTTTTCATCCTCGAAAGTAAATGTATATTCTTCTGTCGGTGATGCCTCAGGAGTTGAACTTTCAGGAAATCCGGTGAATTCTCAATCTCTTCAATGTGTTGTAATATTTATCGTACAAGCGGCCTGCTGGTCTCAAGGTAATAGGATCTTTGTGGTAGTAAATCGACTGAAAATAGGTGAAAATTTAGAAAATAGTTTTGTAATGAATAAATAATTTACCTTGTCATCTTTAAACCTGTTTGCAATATCTTGCGCAATAGATTGGAATGTATTTCGGCATATTTTGATTTTTCTTTTAATAAACCACGACACAGTGGCATCAATTAAGATCTTCCTCCCAGCGTCATCTAGTTTGTCCAGTCGCAGAACATACTCGCCAGTTGGATGGGCACTTAACACTTGCTGCAAATCCTTAAAAATTGTAGGTTTTTAAAACTTGTTTAATGTTTTGTTGGGTTTGTGAGGTGCCTCATATATAAACTTACGAAGTCATGTGAAGATGAACTGGATGTTTGTGAGCATGAAGGAGATTCGATGCCATTGTTGATCCGCTGTCGCCACTGCTGCACAAAGTCAACAAAACCAGAATTGGCGGACGCTGTATCGCACGTCGACACGCTACCATACCCCTGAAGGAATTTTGCAACAAAAAAGATTCTTCATGAAATGATCACAGAGGGATTCACAATACTTACGTTTGTTTTCCTCCAAGTTATGAGTTGATGGCGGAATTCCGCTCTACCACCAATGGTGTCGTTTTTAAACAAATCAGCAAGGTCAGACTCCGTCAGATATTGCAAATTTTTCAAGGTTATTGCTTGCGCTGGAATTTCACTAAATTAACTAAAAACTACAACAATGACAATGTATTTGCAACTTACCTTTAAATTCAGCGATTTTATGTGAAAATCCCCACTCCAAAATCAATTTACAAAATTCCGTGTCTTCTGGATCAGGATTATCCATATCATCCGCCTCCACAGCACGCAAAATATTTAGCGAAAACAATTCACTATTGTTAAGATTCATCAACACTTAATTTTAATATATTAATTAATATAATTTCACTTCACTGCACCTACGCAAATAACAACGTCCATGAAAAGTTTGCAAATGAATATGAAAGAAGAAAAGAAGCAAAGCATCAAAAGTGCCGTTATTCTTATCGCATAAACTCTCTTTTCGGTTAGATTAACAATCAAAATAGTAGAGCTACAATTTTATTCGGTTAGTTTTACTATTTCTGTGGTTAAAAATAGTAACTTTACCATTTTGCAGGTTGGCCATACCAATTTTTTGTGGTTAAATTTATGTGCTACAATTCTAACGATTAGTTTAACTATTTTTGTGGTTATTCTCATCATGAAGAGGGAAGAAAGAGAGAAGAGAATTACGTGAAGACTATCTTTTCAGTTAGATTAACAATCAAGATAGTAGAGTTACAATTTTATCCGGTTAGTTTTACTATTTTTGTGGTTAATAATAGTAACTTTACCATTTTGCAGGTTGGCCATACCATTTTTTGTAGTTAAATTTATGTTCTACAATTCTAACGATTAGTTTAACTATTTTTGCGGTCAAAAATTTCCAAATTCGTATAACAATTTTTCGTCGATTATATTAACAACCTGAATTGTACTTGTTGTTTGTGTTTTCAATGTAAAATAGAAAAATGGTTTATTTACAATCTTTTTCGGTTAGATTAACCTATCTTTTTTCTTTCTGTGTAGGTACATAAATAAACTTAACAACTATTGTTCAATTTACCTTATTTTTTCTCCAGGCGAATAACTTTTCACGAAACTCTATGCGTAGGCCAAGATGTAGAACTGCTTCTTTCAAATCCTCTTTTTGAATGTATTTTAAGCATCTATAAGTGATTTGTGCAGCTAAAATACACTTATGAGAGTATACTTTTCATATATGCAAATAGGGAATATGTACTTACCTTTTAAATTCTCAAAAATACATTCCAGTCTGAATTCTTTCAGCAACGTTTTAAGATTTTCGTCATCTTCGATAGTGGAATTATCTTCTCCAACTGTACTTAATGTACTTTCATTTATTTCTGGCAGAACAGAATTTTCTGGAGCTTCTATTGCCCCTTCAGAGGTAACTGGTTGCTCCGTGGTAAAGAGAACCCAATTATTTACCTCACTAGTAGCGTCATTTGCATAAACACAATAGTTTTCCATCTTTTATCTTGTAGCGTTCTAAAATTAAGAACGTGGTATAAATCACAGAACGGATAGAATATATTTAAGAACGGATGGTCTAAAAATAAGATCGTGTGTTCTAATAGCAAGAACTTGGTTCTTAATACTAGAATTGTGTTCTAAAAGCAAGAATTTGGGTCTTAATACTAGAATTGTGTTCTAAAAGCAAGAATTTGGGTCTTAATACTAGAATTGTGGTCTAATAGTAAGAACTTGTTCTTGACTTAAGAACTTTTTGGTCTCCTATCAAGACCGTTGGGTATCGAAAAAATTAAGAACAGTATAATCTAAAATTAAGCGCAACAGGCTTAAATTTAGACCGCGGTTTTTCCCTCAGTGTAGGCTGTACAATACCCCTTTTTATGATTGAATACAAATTTATAAAAATTTCGTTTAAATATTCTCTGGATCCTCTCGGTGGTGAATCGCAGAGATAGTTTTACTTTATAAATCCGGACGGTCCTCCTTTCGGTGGTGAATCGCAGATTTTTGGTATGTCTTTTAGGTTTAGAGGCTATACATATACCCAAACGACTTCGCCAGAGCGACGTCGTAACAACATCGTCTTCGCCCTGTGGCAAATTGGGTAGATATGTATGCTTAATTTTAATACCATGAGCATAAGTACTTATGGTTGCAAGAATGGTTCATATATGTAGATATGTATGTTTAATACCATGAGTATAAGTACTTATGGTTACAACAATGTATGAATCTCATTTTTATGATTTGATTTTCTTTGTCACCTTGGAATGCTGAGTTTATTTACATTTTTTACTATGCAAGCATATTTTGTAAGCATTCTGAAAATATCCTTGCTTTATTTCTTGAAATCATTTCCGGTTTAGGTGGACTCGCGCATTGTTAGTTATTTCATACGAGGAAACAGGCATTTCTTGTTGCTATCGCACGCTCCCCGACAACCACACATTTGAAGAAATTTAATTTCTTAAAAACGCTTAAAAATTTTTTCTCTGTGCTGGGAAATTATAGGTGGTATCTTCCTGTCAGTTGATTTAGAAATGGAATTGACTGTTTTGAATCGCAAGAAAACCCACTACTTTTATATTTCCATTATAACATTACTTTAGTTTTAAAACTTAAGGTTCAATTCTGAAGGTAATATTATTAGTTATACCATATGTAATACGATGTTTTTGGTATATTTACCAAACTATTATGCGTTTTTATGCACTACTGCCTTGAACCTGCATATCACGAAAATCCTCTCCTTTTGATCAAGGCCCAATTGCAACCCCAATTGATCTTCAAATCCATTTGGTGGGATTGCTGCTGGGCTTGGATATTCGATATGAATTTTTGTGTCTAGCCCACCCTGAAGTCTGGGTGGATAAATTTGTGCTCTATTTAATCCAGTATGTAACTTGGCGGATGGTTCGATGCTGTCTCCTAAATAAGAAAATACCGTGACCTTTAGTAAGGGCGGTGCCATCCTGCGGTTGCAGGGTTTTGTTGTGTTCTTATTTTGGGCACTAACTGCTAGTTCACTTCTAGCGGTATATGTATGTATGTATATGCGTTCTTCTGGATACAGATAGTTTTCCACTCTGGTGTATCAGTGTGACAAATCGTTGTGTTTAAATATGCACATGATATCCCTAAGTTTCTAACGCCAAATCCGATCCCATGATATCTGATTAGTACTTGGAAGTTAATAAAGAAGCGTCCCCGTGTTGTTAAGCATTTCGACTTGTCTAATTTACCTAACATGCATATATCAAAACCTAACCAACCGTCTATCAAGAATTTGTCTACAGCCTTTATTTATGTACCTATAACTACTAGCAATATATGCTATTTACGATATTGAAAAGTTACAATGATAATACATTTTACGTGATTTAAAAAACTCCTCCCACTATTACAATTTGTTAGAATGTAAACATTTAATACTTACACGATCCAACCTGAAGTACCCGAGTCATTACTTTCATTCCCATTAAACCATTAAACATGGACATTTATTACACTAGTATACAAATTTTGATTATGAAAAAGTATTTTCTAGTGTAAGTAGCTTTTTTTATTTATGTTGACATACTGCATACGAAATTACAATTATATTTTTTTAATTAGTTTCCATTTCTTAAAAAAAAAATTTTAAAGTTTTTTGAAAAAATAACAGAAATTATACCGTTATTTTATTCATTAGTAGAATTGCGACGTGGTTTCTTCGCTGCCCTTTTGTACTCTGCTTCTGGAGTATCTCGATGAATAGTCCAGCAGTAATCCGCTAACATTGAAACGTTCCACTTGCCCTGATATCGTTTTTCCATGTTAGCGATGTCCTGGTGGAAGCGCTCCCCATGTTCATCGCTAAAGGCCCCACAGTTATCCGGAAAGAAGTCCAAATGAGAATGTAAAAAGTGGATTTTCAGGGACATGTTACAACCCAGTTCTTGGTAAGATGACAACATATTTTCAATAAGTTCAGCGTAGTTGTCGCTCTTCTTATTTCCCAAGAAGTTTTTTGTCACGAGGCGAAAATTGTCCCAGGCTTTTTTTTCTTTGCCTTCCAAAATAGTGTCGAAGTGTTCGTCTTTTAATAAATTTCTTATTTGGGGACCAACGAATATACCTTCTTTTATTTTAGCCTCACTTAATCTTGGAAATTTCTGGCGAAGGTAGTGAAAAGCAGTTCCATTTTTGTTCATTGCTTTTACGAAATTTTTCATAAGCCCTAGTTTTATGTGCAGTGGTGGAAGTAACACTTTTTGTGGGTCAACTAAAGGGTTATTTTGAACATTTTTCATCCCAGGCTGAAGTGACTGACGATGAGGCCACACTTTTTTTGTATAATGCTGCTTTCTGTCACGACTGTCCCATTCGCAAAGAAAGCAACAAAATTTCGTATAGCCTAATTGTAGTCCAAGTAGAATAGCTACGACTTTTAAATCTCCGCAAATTAGCCATTGGTGATCATTATATTTTATCTGCAGCAAAAGGGTTTTCATGTTATCATAAGATTCTTTCATATGGACTGCATGACCAATAGGGATCGATGGTAAAATATTTTGGTTATGTAACAATACTGCTTTTAAACTTAATTTAGAGCTGTCTATAAAAAGTCTCCATTCTTCCCGTTTATATGTAATGTTAAGAGATCCCATCAAACCCTGGACATCTTTACAAATAACTAAACTTTCAGCCATTTCAAAATATTGCATCAAATGTTTTTGTCTGTTACGGAAAGATGTTATAACTACACCACTTTGTAAAAGGTTCCATTGTTGCAATCTTGAACCTAAAAGTTCTGCTTTGTTCTTTGGCAATTCTAAGTCCCTTACGAGATCATTTAATTCAGCTTGTGTTATCCTGTGTGGCTGTGTTGATGTACTAGGTACCTCGTATTCTGACATTGACGAAATTGATGGTGAACTTCCCTTGATTTCATCTTCGTCGTCACCGATGTGAGGACGCTTCGGGATCGGATGAAGATCGCTGTGTGGTAGAGGACGAGTAGCTGATGGTATATTTGGATATGTTATGGCACTCTTCTTTTTTTTAGAAACACCCTTGCCTTTTCCAAATACATGAGTCGTCAGGCAGAAATAACAATCACTTACGTGATTTGTCGATTCTCGCCACTGCATTGGCACTGCAAAACGAAATGATGTTTTTTTTGCCATTCAGCCAATTTCTCAAACCTGTAGCACATGGATTACAGCAGAAATGTGGAACCCAGCTTTTATCCTGGTGTTTGATGTTCTCGTTAAAGTAGTAAAAATAGGCTTCTTTTATTATAGGCGATATACAACACCTTTGTTTATTAAATATCACCTCACCGCAGATATAACAAAAATTGTCGGGATTATTAACACATTTTCGAGACATTTTGCTATAAAATAGTATTATACTTTTTACTTTTAACACTTCTATATCGCTTAATTTAAGAGAAAATAGCACTAAATCACAATATTTCGAATATTTGATACAAACTAACTATGTAAATGTCAAAACATTATGAAGTTAAATGTTGGTAGTTCCATTAAACACGAAAGATACGATTATCGTAAAAACTCAAACTAATAAATGAATTTTAGTTATCAATCCGAATTTTGCATGGACAGAGAAGCAGAAATTAGTTTAAATTATTTCGGATACTTTTCCTTGTAGACTAGTGTTATTGGAGTGTATGTAAATTCTCAGCTAGTAATGCAATCATTTTATGATGGCAAAGAATAAATATTTATTTTATTTGCAAAAGTTACATATATGTATGTAAATCAACGAACACGCTGTTAGGTGCTCGAGAAAATTATAGAAGTCCTTTCTAAGAAATAAATAAAATACAAGATTTAGAGCGGATGAGATTTATAAATATAAAGTATTTCTTAATTGTATCGCTCAGTATCTAAACGGCTTTATTAGTTGCTGATGCTGCATTTCCCACGTATTGCATTTTGGTTGCATAACATCGATTGGTATTGCTTACATAGCGGGTCAGCTACCTGCAATGGTTTTGTGTCCGTATACGAAAGTGTGGAGTCAGCATACTCACAAGGGCTGGTCAACCTTTGGTGAGGCGTCTTTGACATGGGGGATTGGCAGGTCCTGACTACCATGAACAGTCGTACCCCAAGGGCAAACACTTTGGGGGGCACACTCACCACTAGCTTCGAACCTTTTTTTTTGAAAAAAAAAAAAACCCGTAGAACCTTTTGATGGGAATATTAATGCACTTTATTAAATTTGCGTTAGCGGGGTTATAGCGTAGAACACGTCTGCTCGATATGACATTCGCAAAATTGTATTTTTCTACTAGAGACTTAAGTACAGGTTATACTGCATCAGGAATACCAGATGTGTCAGAAAAATTTACGGTTCCTACTGTTTTTTTTTTTTGGGAATTTTGATGCCGGGTTTGATTTAAAGGATGTGATTTTTCCTACCAATGATCGCACCCAGTTCCTTCAACTTGTCATCCCCAATAATTCCGTCAAATGAGCTGAGTCCTGGCAGCTAGAT